CGCTTTTCATAAAAGAAAGTTCCTGCAGGGAGCATTTCTGTTGCTGGACCATCATTACCTGAAGTATCTAGTCCCTGGCTATCTGTAAAGAGCTGTGTTCAGTATAATATCTCTTCCCCATTTAATTTTGTTGTCCTGGCTCCTTAATGGCTAGGTTAGAGCCTTTAAACTGCCACAGATAAAGAAGGAGATAGGGGGGAATTAAATTTTGATCTGCCCAGATAGGTGGGAAGGAATTAGTCCTTTGCTCTTAGGTCATGGTTTAGGCAGGGCATGCCAGTAAGGCTGGCCTGAATCAGACTCAGAACTTGGAGTTAACACTTGTACTGCTGGGGTGAGAACTGTTACTGTGCTTTCTTCTACGTTGTCCATTACATTTAGGCCTTTGGCAATTGAGTGCTCTGTTTTTGTAACTATCTGTTAGGGATCAATCTGAGCATTTTATCTAAGTCACAGAGTCAGCTCAACTGCAGATTTCCCTGAGAAAAATAAAGACATTGGTTATGATTATACTTTTAGGGCCTCATCTTTCATTTAGAGATTTGATTTATGAATATGAAAGGACAATAGAGGAGTGGCCCATAAAAAGAAGCATTTAATGGTTTCAATTTTTAGTATATGTGCTGCTGAAGCAAGCACAATTTAATGGTTTATAAACCCTTGCATTTTTTTTTTTTTTTTTACAAAATTCTTTTTGGTAAGTGGTATGTTTTACAGCCAACAATCATACTTTGAAGCAATTTGAACATACTTTAAATTTGACTTTATAGGGTTCCTTGTTGTTTAAAAAAAACTGTTGTATTTCTTATATGCTGATATTCATGGGATTGAGATGATTTCTTTAGTGTTATTTATATATGTTTGCTGTACATAATGATTACATTCATTGAGGGACTTGATACATACACATAACGTTTTAATTCTTTTTTCTTCCCCTTGCTTTCCCTCCCCCCATCTTGTTCCCCTTCCCATTTGTAGAGGATGTATGTCTATATGTCAAGTTATTTTTTGTTTTGATCTTTAAATTACTTATACATTGGATTATTCTCTATAAGAGAAACCTTGCAATATTTGTGTGTCAGATTTATTTCACTTAACATTATGGTCTCAAGGTCATCTGTTTTCTTACAGATGACTCATTTATCCTGCTTTATGCCTGAGTACTTTTCCACTGTGTAAATACACCACATTTTCTGTAGAATTGGAAGGATTTTTAAAGACTTAAATAAATCACTATGAACTAGATATGATTTGCATTTCAGTTTCTAGTCATACAATACATTAATTAGCACGTTGAAATACTGTTTCTGTCGTAGTTACCATTTATTACCTGTGTCAGTGTTTTATTATAGAAAAAGATATAAGATACATAAATGTATAAGAATTTATAAGATTGGCTTAAAGTGGTCAGCCACAGAGTTGGATGAGGAAGCGTGCAGAGGGTGTCTGCACACTGGAGACTGAATGTTTCAGTCCAAGATCTGGGGTTCACTGCAGTGTCCCGTGCAAGTATCAGGAGGCCAATGAGTCTGCAGTGGAAGGCTGAAGAGTCTATGCTGGAAGGATGAAACATTTAAGGCAGAAGCCAAAGAGTCTATACTAGAAGCCAGGAGATGATGTCCAAGCTGAAGACAAAGACCGGAGCTCTTTTGAGGAACAGAAGCAAGTCTGTCTTCCTCATTTCCCCTTTATACCATGCACCCTAGGACAGGTCCTCTACACCCTAAGGTATGCAGTTGCTGAGCCCATTTAGTTAAGCTTCTAAACTTCTCAAGTTGGCACAATCAATCAATCATTGCAATCAATCATCCATTACATTACCATTGACCATCCTGGGCCTAGAACTGTCTCGCTCTCTTCACACAGACTAAGCTGTTAGTTGTGTGGCACCCCCTGGCCCATCACACCATGTGAACATTCACATGAATGGATCAGTGCACTTCTTCCCATTACTTTTCTTCCACTTTCCAAAAAGTTTTATTAAAACAGTTTCTTTGGTCAACGTTGATTCTTCTGAAAATATTAGAGGGTAGAGTTATAAAATAAATCAATATTTCTAAAGATTGTGAGCATTTGTTTTATTGTAATGTGTTGAGAATCTGGTAGAATAAGTGTTGATGTATAAGATGGATGAAAGGACTGGAAATGATTATATTTAAAAGTTCTGGTGAAAATTCAGTTTTACACTGGTGTCATGTACATGTGTACAGTATATTGATTACTGTATATTTTTGCTGTCTCCATACTATATCAAAAAACTGAGAAATCTTATGAAGTATTTTTCAGAAATTTACTTGAAAAAAGCATGTTCAAAATATACCTGGTTATAGTAATTTAGGAGCTTTCACTTAAGTCTTTTTTCTAAGGTTTTAATTGTTTACTCAATGCAAAGCCCTATAGGAGAGAACAGTTTATATAATTTTTTAAGTTACATTGTTGTAGTATCGTCTTCTTATCCATTTATATAATTTTTTAAAGTTATATTGATGTATTGTTGAAATATATCCTCCTCTTATCCATGATCTAAAATTATGTTTGTGTTAGGAAAGGATTAAAAAAATCAATGTTGTTTTTTCCTTCTATGGGAAAATAAGGCATCCCAGGCAGATCCAAGAAAAACTGAAAAGATGTCAGCATGTGAGTGCTGTTAAGTGCTATCTTGGTGTTGTTATTAAATTGCTCTCTCCAAGAGGGATGCACATACAACTAGAATTTTTTAACCTGTGACTGACTTATTGGTAAAGTTAAGTGCAGGCTGTCTGCAGTCTTGTATGTATTGATCTCTGCAATTCAACTCATGCAATTGCTGTTTAGTTAGCGTGTGTGAGCAGTTCTTGGTAATTGTTACACATAGCAGGGAGGGCAATGGACTAGAAACAGTCTTGTCACGTGAGTTCTACTCAGATAGAAGCCTACATTTGGGTATCAAACTTCAGGCCAGTTCACATAGGCTAAAGCCATAGTGAGTATATCCTACCTTTATCATTTATTTGTAGCTTTCCATTTTGATAAATATGTCACTTTGATTTTAATGAGATATTGTTCCTGACAATTTCTAACTCAGTTCTTGGTAAACTAGAAATTATGAAAGAGAAGCAAATACTAAAGCTAGTTAAAGCAAAGTACTTATACTAAGGATAGCAAGGTACTTCCTAGCCTCCAAGAGCAGCAGGTTAGGTTCTGCAGAGCTTTTGAGCAGCAGTTCAGCCAGGTCTTAGAAACTAACAAACTAGAATCCGTGACTAACATTATCAGTCCAGTGTGTGTGTGTGTGTGTGTGTGTGTGTGTGTCTGGTTCTCTCTTTCCCCACCTTGCTCTTCTTCCCTCCCTCCCTGTCTCCTCCTCACCCTCTGCCAAAGCTGGGGAGGACTTGGAAAACATTGGTGTCTATACTGAACATATAGTGGTTATTTAATACATACTACTAATTTTATTTTTCTTTGTCTTATAAAGAGTCAGTTATGTCACCAAGTGTACAGGTTTCAGAAACATACTTAAATACATATTAATAGATGTTGCAAACTCCATATGTATATGTTGTTGAAAAATAACATACTAACCTACTATAGGATGTTTTGTTTATTAGATAATCAGATATGTGGGATTCTGTAATGAGTTAATAAAACATTGTTTTTTCCAAGTAAAACACACTCTGCTATAATCAGGGTAGAAGTATTAATTATCAATTATCAATTAATATTAATTGATATTAATTATCAGTTGATACCATCCTGATGATTTTAATTTCCTGATGTGCCTCTGCCACCTCTTTATTATAACAATGTTATTCCATAGCCCAGAAAGATAGCTTCTCCCATTCTACTCTTAGACTGTCTGTTCATATTCTTCTTGTGCCTTAACACAACCTAAATGCCATATCTTTATGCAGCCTTCCCCTAGTCACTTACCCAGAGGTAGTCTTTGCTTCACTTGAGTTTGTCACATTTTACTCACATATCTTAAAACACATCATGTTTCAGTCTCAGTATTGCTTGTATACCCTCTAAACAAACCACTGTTTAGATATTGACCACAAGTATTACTGCCAATCTCTTGAGAAGTATAAGGTCCTTGTCTCAACAGTCTCAGGCTGTGGAGTTTATGTAAAACTTGCATCACCTCATATTTGGACTTGCACAGTTTGGCCTGCAACTTCCACATATATGCCATGAATGTAACCCATGACCGTTTTAAAAAGGAAAAGTTGCCCCATTTTTACCTTTCCTACTGCATCAGTCTTGACCTTTCCTTGGGACTCATAAGGGAACCAGATTTTCTTTATTCTCTGATAGAAACATATAAAGCAAACTTCCATCTATAAGGATTTAGAGTGAAAAGTTCTGTGGATGTTAACTTTAATTGTAGCTTATTTTTTAAAACAGGAAAGCATCCAAATCTTGGTGGAACTTAAAAACAGCCAGTTGGTTAAAGAAATACTGTTTGGTGACATGAATTGACTGAAGCCCTCCCCCATCTATAATCATAGACATTTTGTTCTTCGCACCATTAACTTTTTACATAAACATCTCATGCTTAGCTATCCTCCAAAGGACAATGTTAAATTGTTCCATGTTTGTTTGTTTTTTCCTTCATTCTACTATTCAGAATAGTTTTCTTCTGTTGCTGTTCCTTTTCCCTTGCTTTCTTTTTCTTTCATTTATACCTAAATATGATATGTCTTTAGTCCCCTGCACAGAGAAAATACTCTGGTGGGATGAAAACTTACAATTTTGTAGAAAAGTAGATATTTACTATCATCAATGTAATTTACTACTCTTTGGAAGTACGTTATGTATAGTATATTTGAATTGGTTATTTTCCCCTTATTAAATGTTGGCATGTCAGTCGCCATCTTTTTTCTCTTCTAAGAGAAAAAGCTTTGAAATCAGTTAATTGTAGAATTGTTTTAGCTTCCCAGTATTAATTCTGTAAAAGTACATTAAGGTTTGAACAGTGTAATAAATTCTAATGTCTTGAATTGATATTTGTCTCATAATAGATCCACCTAGTTTCTGAAGCTGGATACTGTATTCATAGCAGACTGGTATGAATCTCCTATTTTTGACTAGTTGCATTGAATCTTACTAACAATAGCAATAGTAAATACTGAATCTTTTAAAAACTTCGTACTAAAATGACTATTAGCCTGTTTTACTAGTGAAGTTCAGAAGTAGCCTAAAATCATAGGCAAAGTTTGCCTCCCCATTGCATTTCACCCTAAATTTTTCATTCTGACACTTCTAAAGCCAGAATGTTTTACATAACCACAATAGCCATTGTAACACGTAAAAAGTAGATCCCTAATTTCACCTGATTTTCAGCCTATATTTAAAGGCTCCCAGTGTGTCGTGTGTCAGAAATGTTTTTGGTAGCTTTTTTTAAAAAACTAGGATCTCAGTAAGATTCATATGTTATTTACCTGGGGGTAGGGAGAGTGCAGAAGGGTAGTATTTTTCTAATCTGATCATTTCTTCTATGTTTTTTCATTGGCTTATTTTTGGCTAGAAAGAGTAAGACTTTCAACTGTGTAATAAGCAATATGCAAATACATGAATAGATCAATTTACAAACTATCTCAAAAGCATTTCCTGTCAAAATTAAATCCTAGAATTATCATCCAAGTCTGTTTTCTGCTGTGATAACAATACAACAGACTGGATAATTCATAAACAATAGAAATATATTTGACTCATGGTTCTGGAGGCTAGGAAATCCAAGAGAATAGTGCCAGCACCTGTGGTCTCCTTTGTGGTTTGCCATAACATGGTGGTAGGGCAAGTGAGCACCTGTGAGATGAAGAGCAGGTTGAGAAGGAGGCAGACTTACATCACTTTCTCTATAACTAACCCATTTTAATCCATTCATGAAAGCAGTCACTAAATTCCCACCTCTTAAGACCATCAAGTTGACAATTAAACTTCAACATGAGTTTTGGAGGAGATATTCAAACCATAGCAACCTCCAAGAAAAGTAAAAGGCTGTACATAAAAAGAAATGTAGTCATACCCAGCTTTGTAATAAATAAAATGGAATGTTATACACACTTCTGATTTTTAACTTTTATAGTCAACCATGATAGCATAATTACATTTAGAAAATGAAATAGTAGTTGTCAACTTTGGTAGAATTTAGAAGGTAGAAGATATAAAGAGGAGAGGGAGACAGAAAGAAGAGTGAATATCAAGATAGATACTGTCTATAGTTGAATAAGAAATTGGGCTATAAGTATATTAAGATTACAATAACATTATGTAGAACTAAAAACAGTACTGTAATTGCAGTAATTTGTGGGAAGGGGGAATAGGCTGCTGTTCTTTTCTGTTAGTAGTAGTAAGTCAGCATATTATGTAAAATTTGTTAGAAAATGAAGTATGTATATTATCTAGAGAAAAAAGGTAACCTCTAGGACAACTAAAAACAAAAATGAGTTTTTAAAATACAGTAGTTGCTTGATTTTGGTGGAGAGCTTATAGAGATAAGATGATTCTTTCTGTATATTTTATTTTTTTAACCACATGCAAAAATTTGATAAAAATGTAATCTACTTAACAATAATAAAATAAAAAATTGGATTTTTGTGGGCATTTATTCTTTTGAGCACACACTGTTCTTACATCTAATTATATCTGGTTTAATCTTTTATCTTCATTATAGTAATTCCAGTTATCTGTAATTAAGAGTTAGTATGTTATTTGATTGAAATTATTTAAATGGGAAAACCATCCAAATGTTGCTCATTTTGATTGACTTGAGGATCATATAAATTCATCCCAAAGTATTTTATTAAATTAGGTAAATTGAAAAACAAAGAGTTATCTGAAGTACTGATCTGTACATTTAAGCAAAGACGGTTTTTCTCCTCCCATCCCAATCTTTTTTTTTTTGGTTTTTCTCCGGTACCGGGAACCGAACTCACGACCTTGCGCTTGCCAGGCAGGCGCTTTTGCCGCTGAGCTAAATCCCCAGCCCCCCCATCCCAATCTTTATGCTTCCCTTTTTAAATTTATCACACTAAAACCTGTAATAAGTGTGTGATAAAAGTAGAAATACCTTCTTGTTACTGATTCAGGAAGAAAACATTGACTCTCTTATCTTTGAGTTTTATGGTATTTATAAATTTTCGTAGAGCCCATAATCAGGTTTAAAAGTTCCCTTGTATATATAACTTGTGATGGCCTTTTTAGTAATTATTAAAATATTTATATGACTTTTTCCATTAAGTCATATAAGTTATATTCATTGATTTTTTTACTACTAAACTTGAATCTCTGCGTCTACTCCACTTGGTTATGATTATTATCCTTTTTTTATGTTTCTGGATTTTTATCTTTCATTCATGTTTGAATATTACACATATTAGTCCACAGTTCGCTTTTATTGTTTTATGTTTGTCTGGGTTTAGTATCACTGAACATTGACTGTAATGTATGATTTGGAAAGTATTCCCTCTTTGTTGCTAAAAAATTCAGGTCACATTGTTATTGTTTCTTCTCTAGGAATTCACCAATGAAGCAACCTAGGCCTGGAAGAATTTTTTGTGTAGAGAAAGACTTACAGTTATGGATTTTATGGATTTAATTGATAATCATATTTAAGATTTTTATCTTTTGGGGTCAGTATTTGTCATTTGTAGCTTGAAGGAAATTTTTCAGTTCACCTAGGTTGTCAGATAGTGCTTGTGTGAAGTTGTTCACACTACTGCTGCCTTACTCTGTAATAGCTGTAGGATCTGTAGTAATATCTTCCTCTTATTCGTGATTTTAGTAATATATATCTTCCCTCTTCTCCCCCCTCTTAATCAGTTTAACCTAGAGGTAAGTCAGTTTTACTGATCATTTTATTAAATCAGCCTTATTGATAGCTTTGTTGTTTTATCTTCTACTTAATTTTTTCTGCTTAGGAATTAAATTTTCTTAAGATGCGAACTTAAATCACTAATTTTAGATTTTGTCCCTCACTCTAAACATTTAAAGCTATAAATTTTCTATAAACAATGTTTTAGTTGTATCTCACAGACTTCTATTGGTTGTTAGTTTCATCATTGCATTGAAAATATTTTCAGTTCTCTTGTGATTTCTGTGACTCATATATTAGAAGTGCATTGTTTCATTTTTTAAGTATTTGAGGTGTTCCTAGTTATTAGTGATTTCTTATTTAATTCTTTTATGGTCAGAGAATATATAAGTTCAATCTTTTTTAAATTCATTGATCCTTGTTTTACCACATTCCACACTCTTGAAAAACTTGAAAAGAATGTGTTCTCTTATCATTGGGCATAGTGTTCTATAACTGTCAACTAAGTCAATGTTGATAATGTTCAGATTGCCTATATTGTTTTTTTGTTGTTGTTGGCAGGGGGTACATTGGTTCCTGAGAAAAGAATGGAGAAATAAGTTATGCCTTTAATGGCAAGTTTAGTAAAACTACATGGCAAAGAAACATGCATACAGGGACAACAAATTTGTGACTATTTTGATCTGCCACAGAATTCATTTTACTGTTCTCTGTGATCTTATATATATTTGCATTTGAAAATCCTGATAATGATATCACATTCCAGAGAGTGCATACTACATGCTTCATCAGACAGAAAAAATATGTACAATTTGTTTCTATTTATTCTTACACCACTTTAAAAGTTCTGTTCAGGAGTATGTCTTATAATGTATACATAGCACATAGTATAACCAGTAGTAAGATATAGATACATATATATGAGAGACAATTACACATTTCTTCACTGTTGTTTAAAAAATAGTAATTTAGCTCATGGAGAGTCAGTTTTGTTCCAAAAGTTATACCATTTGGATGGTCTTATGAACTGTATCTTAATAAAATAGTATTTTTATGTGGTATTCATTTTTTATTACTACATGCTTGTAATACACAAAGTCTATGTTCTTTGTGGGGAGTTGGTACATATACTTAATGCATCTTAATTTCTTCTTCCATCCCATGCCTTCCATCCTTTTCCACTCCACCCAACTCTTGATCCCTTTCCTTTTTTCTTTTTGTACATGTTTGTAGTATATAATGTTTACATTCCATGTGTGGAGTTGGTACCTGTACATAATACATCTTAATTCCTTTTTTCCACCCCTTTCCCCCCTCCCCTTCCTTCATCTCTTGATCTGCTATTTGGGAAAGATCTATCTCCTTATGTCCTATTATCTTTTATTTTGTTCTTTATTTATATTTTGGGTTTTTCATATAAGAGAAACTATGATATTTAAGCTTGTTTGTCTGATTTATTTAATTTTTAAATGCAGTCAGTTATTTGAATGGGTACAGGTAGCACGTTTCTTTTGAAATTGACAAATTATGTTAATATTATACATATTCTTGAATTGGATGACATGACTTTTGTTTAGGGAGAAAAATCATGCTAAGTTAGCATCTTGTTAACAAGGCAACTCAGTAAAATCTAAATGTAAACTTTTTTTTTTTTGCCTTTCCACAGAAGAAAATTCAACAGTACAGTCTTCTCTTAGTATCTGCAGGGGTTTGGTCCCCCTGCAAACACACCACCACCACTTTTAGATACCAAAATCTCCAGCTGCACATGACTGTTATTTTAAATGGCTTAGTATTTACATATAACCTATATACATCCTCCTTTAACCAACCAAGCTATGAAAAGTGGAGTTTAAAGCATATTTACGGATATAGGTTATTCTCATTATATATGAAGAAAGAAAAATTCAGAATTATATTTATAATATATGACTGTATATTAACAGTATGTAAGTTCATATCCACAGTATCTCATTTTTGAGGCAGTTCTCAATTTTGTGCTCAAATATACATTAGAAAATACAAAATATTAGCAGTTCTAGATAGTAATTGAAAGTGGGTTTTTTTTTTCCATTTAGCCTTTCTATTTATTTCCAAATAGATCTTTAATAAGACATATTGAAGACAGTGTTTAATATTTTTATAATTTAAATGTGTAGTCTGAGAATGTTAATTTATATTATTAAAATAATTATTTCATCCCATGTGTACTTATCTGTAATTATAATCATTGAGGAACAAAAGTCAGTCAATTGTGGTCAGTGTGTTACTATTATTTTACCCTATTATGAATTGAATGTATTTTGGTTTTTTATGCTTTATCAAAGGTTGAATTAATAAAAGGAAATTTACAAAGTGTTGGACTTACACTTCGTCTTGTTCAGTCAACTGACGGGTATGCTGGGCATGTCATCATTGAAACTGTGGCCCCAAACTCACCTGCTGCAATTGCAGATCTTCAGCGGGGAGATCGACTCATTGCTATTGGAGGTAATTATGCTAATGTCCAATATACTTTACATTTACAGAGAAACTAGAAAGTAGATATAAAGTTTTTCATTTTCTCTTTCTTCCTTAGACCTATCACAAGCACCTGTTACTTTCAAAATGGAAATAAACTTTATTATAAATAAAAATCTGAAAGGATATCTTAAAGAAATGCTTTTAAAACATCTGTGCTATATTTAGTCCATATAAAGTGCTTCTTCTTTAAACTACTTTTATATATAACGTCTCCAATTATCATTCACTTACCACTTTCTATTTCTCTTATTTATTTGAATCTGAAAGTAAGAGCAAGTCATCAATTACTTTTCTGTGCAACTACCACCATTACTGTTCTTGAACCTAAAATTTATATTATCCCTCCTGCCCCATCAGGTAGGACTAGGAAATGAACCAAGAGGAGCTCTTATTCCTTATCCAAGAGGGTACATGTACACTGTCCTGTGGCCACATGTTGTCTGAATGTCCATCCACTTGTTAGGATGCTGTTATTCAAAGTTTACTGCAAGTGCCTGGTGGAAAAATATGTTGCCTATATACTATACACCTTTCAGTTGGGTTATTATCATCAATAATAACAAAAACTCGGGGCTGGGGATTTAGCTCAGCGGCAAAAGCGCCTGCCTGGCAAGCGCAAGGTCGTGAGTTCGGTTCCCGGTACCGGAGAAAAACCAAAAAAAA